ATAACAATACCTAAGTTTTTCAAAAACACTACCGATTAATATATAAGGGATCACGCTTCTTCTCTCTCTCTGGCCTACCCAAATTACTTGAATACGCTCTTAAAATTTGTTATGATTCCCCCCCACTTGACCAATCCCGTGAAGATAAAACTACTACCGACGCTTCTCTCCGATACCCTTCGATCTTGTTGTCGCGGTAAGTTTCCCGATTGCTTTTTTTTTCTGGGCTCGATTTCTAGTGTTCCTGATCGATCGTTGGAGTTGATTCGTGAATCTTTGTGTTTTTGATTGCAGCAAAAAATGGGTTTGATTTCTGGAATTCTGTTCGGGGTTATCTTCGGCGTAGCTATAATGGCTGGCTGGAGTCGAATGATGACGCACCGCACGTCCAAGCGAGTCGCCAAGGTTCGATTTGACCTTGGGGTTTCTGAAATCAAATCTGCTTATTCACAAATTGATTGAAATTCATGATTTGGTTTTTGAGGATAATTTTAAGATTTTCAAATCTGGGATTGTAAAATTCTTCGTGATTGTGTTAGATTGGTCGTTTTGATCATGAATTTAGCTCAAGTGCGTTACTTATCAGTGTCTGTTTATGCTACTTCTAATTGTTGAAATTAATGTACCAAGTTGATTCTACTTAGCGAGCTGGTGGCTTTGTTGCATGTTACCCCTTTTTTTGCTACTGTTTGAGAGGTGGAATGGCCTGCTTTACTTGTTTAGTTTGAGGAGCCGTATCATTCTAACAAGTGTATCTTGATAGTCTTTCAAGTTCTGACACGAGTATAGAGGTGTTTCTTAGCCTACACTACTGTGTAACTGACTCGTTATAGGCTTTTCTGTTGATATGAAACTTCTAGGCTCCCTTAGCAGAGAAGATTTGAAGAAAATTTGTGGTGATAACTCTCCACAATGGATTTCGTTTCCAGCCTTTGAAAATTTGTGGTGATAATTTGTGGTGATAGCTGTTGAGTTTTTCTAAATTAAATGTAAAATTTTTTGTCTTGATATTGTGTGAACATGGTGGACTGGAGAAAGTTAGTCCTGTTTTTTCACCTTGAATTCAACATTACTTGGTTTTGCGTACATATTATCTGTCTGCTTTTTGAACTAGTCTAGTACAGTTTAAACACTCGGTTTCTCAGCAAATGAGCCAAAATTTTCAAACTGCAAACTTCTTATAGTTAATTTTCTTCAGGTCAAATGGAGGATGAATAAACTACTGAGCAAGATGTGGCCATTTATTGCAGAGGTGAGATTCTAATTTTCTTTTGATATCATATTAGGTGCATTCTTTTCCGTGTTGCCTATGAAACTATTAGCATTTGTACCCTGAATAATGGTAACTGAAGATATCATAGGAAGAGGAGAGTCATTATACTGTCAAGTTCTTCTCGAAAGTTGGATTTTTTGAAGAGTCTGTTGAGATTTAGTTTATCCCAAAAAGAGTGGTAAACAAACCTAGCGTTAATCGATACCTAAGATAGGTCTAATTTGTTGGAATGCAAATTTCCAGGCAGAACTATGGTAATAAGAGATTCTGTTGAACCTCTGCTTGAAGATTACATACCACCAGGAATTACTTCCCTGAAGTTCAACAAATTGACCCTGGGTAACGTAGCACCAAAGATTGAAGGTAAAGCATAGTGGACAACTTCTTCAACCTTAGTCTCTGATTAGCATCAGAGATTTTCCACTTTCCCGCTTGCATCAGACTTCCTTCTGTAGAAGAGCACATAAGCAGCACCTGATTTCACATCGTCCTCGTTTATATGTGATATATGATTGTCATCGAAGTTATACCACCTATTGTCGTCCAAATGCTGCAGACCACATGGGATTAAAATCAGACGTAGAAACAGAAACGAAGCAACAACAACTGGAGCACTAAAAGCTGCTTTGAACTGACCTTGATATGTGCAGTGTAGTGTCCGCTGCCCATACCACCGTAATGATTGGTCAAGGCATAGAGCTCATAGAGTTGTGGTTTAGAGAGGGTTTTGTTGGCTACGTACTTTGTTAAATCTAAGTCATGCATAGGAAAGTTTACCAATGTTTCCAACTTCTCCATGCAACTGCTGTTTGAGAATCTCTTTAGATGTATGACTAACACTTCAGGAAGCCTCCACAAATCAAGCTTTTTAGTTGCCTGCCTTTTTTGGTTGCATCGTGGACATAACCTTCACAGATGCAAACACACAGAAAAATAAGCACAATAAACCACCACTGATTCATGAGGAACTAAGTAGAAGATAGTGGCTAAAATCTACTGCAAGCATACAGTAGTTCAAATTTGATGCTGCTTCATTCAACTTTTACCACAAACCAGCCAAAATGAATCTACCACAGG